GGTCGTGACCCCTTTGGCGGTCGAGCGACCCTTTCACAGGGGTCGCCTAAGACCATCCTGCATATCAGATATTTACATTACGATTCATAACAGTAGAAACATTACAGTTATGAAGTAGCAACGGAAATAATTTATGGTTGGGGTCACAACATGAGGAACTGTATTTAAAGCGCCAGAAGGTTGAGAACCACTGCATTAAAAGAAACCAATAATTATTGTGGAATTCTAAAGCTACTCTATTTTAAGATAGAATAAATGAAGTGGTATACTGAAAACAGTATATGTTATTTACATAGTGCTGACAATTAAAACACGACCCTTCTTGGATGCTGTAAATGAAGTTTATTAAGAAGCTAGGCGCAAATGTAGAATATATTTGGGCGCACACCCATGGAAGTAAGGAAGCAGCCCTATTTTATGACTCAATACATACATCAAAGAGGAAAAAATAGAGAAACCAACAGAACTTGTGATTATACATTTGTCATGTTTACCATGTGTCCCGATCCTGAAACACACCCTAAGATTCACAGAAAAGGAAGATATAATCGGGAGGCCATTCCTGAGTCACGTAAAGGCAGTCAAAAATGACTTGGTGGTGTTTGGTGTGTGACACGGGCTTGTTGTTTCAAACAGGTAACAGTATAGTCTTCCTACACACGCCTGATTACTTTTTATGTCATACTGACTCATGGAAGCCTTAGGTTCTTACACGACTTATCACATCTCCAGCCAGACCTCCTACCACGAGGGCAACAGCCGCTTCAGGGCATCCAAAAGGACCCTAGTGACCGGGGACCAGCCCTCCCTGGTGGCAGCGCAGGCCCCTGGATGCACAGACGAAGGAGAATGCTCGGACACTGGTGGCGCTCCATAAACATTAGCAAACCGAGCACCGGGAAAACAGCTAAGGAGACACTGTCCCTGCCCGCGGGGACCAGACCGGAACAGTCTCAGTCTGCACTCGTTTACCGCGGGGTAGTCGGTAGCAATGGTTTGTGCTCATGTACAGGACGGGCCTTCCCTCTAATTTACCTTCTTCCTCGGAGCCTTTCCTGCGAAGCCACTGCCCAAGTCCGCTGCATGTGGAATGTCCCAGAAGGCTGTGTAAGGGTGCAGTGCACACTGAGAAGAACTAGTGTCCTGCAGTTAATGTGTAACCAGAACAGGCCGATTGGAACGGTTCTGGAACCCTCTCTGATGGCGGTGGGACACCTCCGGGCACTTCAGAGGATGATCTTTAAATCAAACAGCAGCAGCATCGGCACCGCTGGATCGGACAGTAAACACTGTTGTCGTTGCTTTCTAATAGGTTTCAAAGGAGAACTCACCTTTGTCCAGCTGAACGAGGGAGACGACAAGGCTG